TCTTAGAGACAAGTGGCACGGGACAGAACTGCTTGCAGCTTTGCACCACTATAGTCATATTTGTAACTACAGATGTCTCCATGGGATTTTATGAGGGAAAACGCAGGAAACAGTTTTCAGAAATTAAGAAAAATAGAGAAAACTTATATAGTGATAACACTGTACATTACACTAACAGTATATATTTGACTGCACTGTGCTAAAGCGACATAACAGTGATTGTACTTCACCCATCAAGTACCAGACTACTAATTCCTTTCCTTATGCCTCTGTGTGCCTGTTTTCTGCTCTCCTGATCACACTTCAGTGGTGGCAGCCTATAAGCATCTGCCAAATTACCTTCAGGAGCCTGACAAGGAGGAAGAAATCCAGCTGCCAGCAGCAAGCCACGCAGGTGAGCCCAGGGGCTTTACGCACTTTGTTTCAGTATGGTATTTAATAAGATCCCGAAGCACCCTGAGACTTGAATGCAGTCATCTATGAAAAAATACAACTGCCTTCCTAAAAAACCCAGCACTTCTTAACACTGATGATTTATAAAGTCCCTTGATGTGTGTGAAGAGAGGAAACCACATCTCAAATCCGTACAGCTGCGCAAACCACAAAGCAAGCAGGACAGAAAAAAAAAATCTCCCGGGAACGCTGGGCTACAAAGGACGTTGATATCAAAGACAATAACAAAGAGGATGGTAGTAGACTCAGCAAGAGAAGCAAAAGTAAACACGCACAGATGCCGCCCGCCTGCACTTCAACACACTTCTGCGTTAGTTAAAATGATGGAAACCGTACGCAAGGCACACAAAACTAAAAACCTGGATAAAGCACGTCGAGGCTCAACCCAAGCCCTCATCGTTTGCTACTGCTACTGTCGCCTGCACAGGTGGTTCACGATAGCTGAAAAAGCACTTTGTTAGCGCGAAAGCGCGAGGGAAAGGCCGGGAAGAAGGAGCGGGGATCGGCCGGGAGCGCCTGGAGGGGTGAGGCGAGACAGGGGTTGAGAGAGCAGCCGCTTTACCTCGTGGAGGCATCGAGGTGGCATTTAGGGAGAAGAGGAAATACAGGTGCAGACGAACAAATATGGAGATGAGAGGTGGGAGTGGTTGGAAAGGGGGCGGAGGGCTATAAAATCAGTCCCGCGGCCCCGCGGTGAGAGGACTGGAAAGGCTAGAGGTGGGTGGTGGTAGTGTTTGTGAGGGCGGCCGTGAGGGAGAGCAGCCCGGCACCGTGGAGCGGGATGGGGCGGGAGCGCCCTCGGCCAATGAGGGGGAACCACGCTCCAGGAACCGGGGAGGAGGCGGTGGGAAGGGCGGTTTCTCCTGCCCCGGGGCCGCGCTCGGCCTGCCCACGGTCCCGCCCGCGGAGGGGCCGGGAATTCCCCGCTGCCCGGGGCCAGAGCCGCTGAGCCTTGTGGCGGAGCCGGGGTAGAGGTGCTGTCCCTCCGTGAGGGGAGCGGCGGGTGCAGTGCGGTAACGCAGGCGGCCACTGCCGTGGTGTTTATTGATGGGCTTCCATTTTCCTGGTCCGTCTATACCGGGTTTCGGTAAAGACAAGCTGTTGATGAAAGGAAGCCGTGGTCTCCCTGTTCTCTCACGTCAGTTTTCCAATTCGGCTTCACTTCTGGTCTTTTGAGAGATCCTTTTTTAAATTATCTGAGTGAAGATTTCTTGTCGTGGGGTCTCAAAAAGCAGAACAATCCAGTTCACTGAAAGGAAGACGATGCTAAAGCAACTGGGGCTATCTCAAGCAATCCTATTTACCACTAATACATCGTGTAAACAGAATGGCTTTATTCTGCATAATCACCACTCTTTTTTAATACATAAATATTTACGATTAAAAAATCTCTTTTTTAAAAGATAATTCAATCCTGATTCTTATTTTGAATGCTTTGTGACTTAGCTAATGTTTAAGATGCAATTTATGCAGCTGTTTCATGAAGCTCATGGGGAGCTCACAGGGGAGCAGGGATAAGTCCTAAGCCCTCCAGTGAAGTACTGTGAAAGCTGTAGTTAAAAGTGTTAGTGTAATCCCTGTTTGGTTTTTTTTCCTTTCCTAAAAGTTTAAATTGTTTGGTGTAGGCAGATAGTGGACTCCAAGTTGTGTCTTTCATTCAGCAGAGATGCTGTATATTGTTACTAGATTATATGGTGTCCATGGAGAGGAAGGGAACATCAGTCACTGAACTGAATTCCTGTCTAGATTACAGATGACAGGTTAGTAATAAATCCTGCTCTTTCACCACTTGGCTATTTTTAGTAATTAGATAGTGATTACAAAACAAATATTTTGATAATTGATAAAGTTACATAAAAACACTAATCCTTTTGCATAATGCTCTTGAATTGTCTAAACATAGCACAAGGCCAAATCAGGAAACAAAGACACTAGTGTATTTTGTGACCTTCAGTATTTCTTTGATTTTGATGTTCTGGTTTCCATTCTTTGGCACATAGTTTTCCTGAAAAAACACATAACCATTAATGAATAGGTTTCTCAAAGCTTCTCTGAAGTTGTATTCACAAATACACTATTTTTTACTCATTTGCTACAAGTTTGCTTTGTTCCAGCATAAAAGTTAGTCTTGAAAAGTATTGCTAGTCTTAAAAGCCTGGATGGTAGGAAGCATTTGGCCTTCTGCCAGGCTACCTGATTGAGAATGGTGTTAGATGGCATAGTGGAGGGACAAGAACCATTTGCCTTGATAGAGGAAAAGACAGTGCTATGTGTTAACTGCATAAAAGACACTAAAGTCTCTCTGAGGGTTTGGGAGAGATCTGGGTAAGTCATACATGAGCTTGATACTAGGGTATTCATAAATAATAAGTTTGATATAGTCTTACTAGTATTTCATCAACATTTTTCAAGTCATTGTGACCCTTGTGGTGTTAGAATTATACTAGTATTATGCATGTAAGTTGACACTTAATCAACAGGAATCATCAGATTTCCCCAAACTTATAAACTTGTAAACTTTGTGGTGTAGGTAAATATGCACATTTGTTTTTTGGGTTCTATAAGAAATAAATCTTGTGAGTTTTCTTGAAAATTCTTCTCTTGCTGTTCTGTCAGGCCAAACAGGTTTAAAGAATTCTTGGCAAATTGCTAGAAAGGTTTTACTTTATAAGAATATTATTTTGATTTTAATAATAAAGAACATGAGCTTCTTCTATTGGT